ATGAGGCTGAAGGTGAGAAAAATACACAAGAAGGGAGGGGTTGAATTGTGTTTGCGAGACTCTTTTTCCTTCTGAACTAGAGTTCAGAATTTGATGATAAATGCAACAGAAAAATGTAACATAAGCAAATAAAAGCAGTAAAGAAAACATAACAGTTATCCTGGTTCCTATCCAACTGAGAGTACTCTAGTCCCTTTTCCATGCAAGATATTTTCACTATAATTAACTTGATTACAGCTACTTATACCCGTAAGTATAAGACTTTCCCTGCTCAGACCTATAGTCTAAGAATTCTTGCTAGATCAACACCAGATCAAGACTTCTCTACTTAAATCCTCAGATCCTAAGACTTCTTTTGCTTAAACCTGCCTAGTACAAGACTTCCTTTCTTAGACACTCTGCCTAAGACTTCTTTGTTAAGACCACTGTCCAAGGCTTCTCTTCTCATACCATTGTCCATGACTTCACTGCACAAGTCCACTTGGTTCAAGACTTCTGCTCATACCACTGTCCAAGACTTCTTTGCTCAAGTCAATGGTAAGAGACTTATATCTAAATTGGATGTTTAGAGAAGGAATAAATTACAACAACACTTGATTAACAATCAGACGTGTTCAAATATTGTACAACACACTTTACACAAATAATTCTTAAACTATACAATAATAAGAACATTTTAACATATTAGCCTCTCTTGAGCTGAAAGTAGTGTGTATGTATCTCAGTTGTAGTTGTAGCGTTATTTCTTAAATTGATCTTCCAATCTTCTGCTCCTTTTATAGCTAAATAAATATAGTCGTTGAAGTATTCACAACGGCTATAATCAAATCACATCTTCTAGTACATCTTCTTTTCCAAGAAGGTAGATGTTGGAACTCGTAGTCAAGGAAAAATCCAAAGAACAAAGTCTTTGTCCAGAGAACACTTCTATGAAACAAGTACAATACAATATTTAGAAGATAATGTCAACATATCTCGAGTCCCGTATTATTAGAGCTTGAGTTAACACTACTCAATTTCAGAGGCATCCATGGCACGCTTCTGATTCTAAAGTGTACTAGCAGTAACTTTCTAATCAGACTCTCTCACGAGTGTATAATCAAAACCATATAAAAGCTTCTTCTGTGTCAGAACTAGTTACATTAAATAAATACAATTCCGCACACACGAACCATATAGTTAGAAATCCTAATTGTTTTTTCAAATACTTTGTTATCATCAGAACTTTAGAGGATACACGATAAGAACCAATTTTTTTTATCAACAGAGGCCTCTATTTATAGGAAAAATGATGAGCAGCTTGTACGTGTGAAATCGGATAGAGAACGTATGAATAAACTTGGAATTTTCATCTTAGCAATCTATGTGAGAGTGAGGGTGAAATGCGTGAGTTTGGCATGAAACCTGGTTGTTTTACACTCTACTCTACACGTTTTGTAAGGACAAATAACTCTGCACATGTATTGGTGGTCCCAAGTGAAGATTTGGATGATTACAAGTTTCAAGTCATGCGTGAAATGCAGAGTCCACGACACCATGTTAAAGCTTAGGCCAAATGAAATCCACTAGTGCGTTTTGAAATGTTCTTAGTGCCAGATGATCTTCTCACGTTGAAGAATAAAATGAAAAAAGAATCACATCAAAAGGATTTTTGAGTTGAAAATGGCATGGATGAAAATTTTAGGCCATGACTTGAAATTTCAGGCCAGCCATTAGGTCGATTTGGTCTTGGACCTGCTTTTATGCACACATGGGCATCTTGGAAAATTCCAAAATTGATGGACTTGGAGGAAAAATTGATGTTTGAGCCTTGAAACAAAGTTGTATAGGAGTTCAAATTTGAAATTTGGCTCAAAGTAGATTACAAAAATATTGAGAAATGAGAGAGTTATGGTGTTTGGACAAAGTGAGATGCCATGCTTGATTTTAAGTCAACCAAACATGTGCCAATTTTGAAGTTTCTTGTTATTTCTTGAATCCAAAGGACCAATGATGAACACTTGAATACAAAATGAAGGAAGCTTGATTATCCTTTGAGTAATCTTGATAACTTCTTGAGAATTGGATGGAGATGACATGAAAATAAACACATGAACCATACTTGAATCAACTTTGAAATCATGCGCCAAACATGAACTTCTCTTGATCAAATGATGTTAAATGAAGCTTGACATGAATGTAAGCTAATATTATAGGTCATACCTTGAAGTGAAGGCTCTTGTGGACCACTTGTTAACCAAAACTTTAACTTTGAGAATCAAAACTTAATTTGGAAACCAAGCTTGATCCTTTGATTGCAATCCCTACCTTGTTAAGCTTCATTTTAAGGTATAATGAATTTATTTTAAGTTATTGTTATTTTAATTACTTTTTTTAAAATTATAATTATCTAACAATTAACTTGAATGGCATAAAACATTGCAGGAAAAGTGCACATGGGAAGTAATTAAAGATGTTAGGATTGAAAAAAACTGGCGGGGCAGAACAACGATTTAACTTTTCGACATGCTACGACGTGCTAGCTGTGGTTGGGAAGAGCAAAGTGTTCTTCCTAACTGGATAGGCAAGGAAGTTTTTGATGAACTTCTTATCTATTGGGACTCACTTGGTTTTAAGGCAAGATTTGAAATTGCAAAGAAAACGAGAGCATCTGAAAAGGAGGATCACCTTAATGCAGCTGGAAGCATTAACATCGTCAAACATGCTCGACGCACGATAATTATAGCTACTTTTAAAATTTATATTTTGATTTATTATATATTTTTAATTAAAGTTAATTTTATTATTAATTAGCATAAGGATTTGAGGAGACCTCCACGAATGAATAAGCTGGTTGCAAAGACTCGTACAAAATGTTTTGGGGATTTTGTTAGCGAACATACTAGATTAGCTTTGGTAAGTTCTTTATATTGTATTATTTTATTTAAATTAATTTCCATATATGAATAATTTTTTTTAACTATACTAATATTTAATGGCAAAGTTGTAGCATGATTTTCATGTGACAACTAATTTAATGTTGTTTGTGGCGTGAAAATCATGTACCTATATTTAATTATTTTATTTAATTTAAATCTTGTATATAACTAAATTGTTTAAACTATATTTAATTAAAAAAAAATTTGTATGTGTAGAAGGACTATGATAGATTGCTCGCAGATTTTTTAGTTTAAAATCCTCAGTATATTCTGATAGGTTCAAACTTGATGGATGATCGTGTGGATCTTTATATTTGAAATTTAGTAATTGGCATGAGAGGACCTAACAAGTGTTTATTTGGTGCTGGATCTTTGGCCGGAAACTACAGATTAGGGAATAGAGCATTATTTAGAAGAGCTGTGAATGGGGAAGGAATGTCACGTCCATAACAATTGACACCTAAAATGATGAAAATAGTGTGACAATTGACGCTAACAAAGTTAAGACGCGAGGCGGCTGAATGTCAAGCAACGATAAATGTCTAAATGGAGGCAATGAAGAAGAGACAAATTGAGATGGATGAAATAATGCGACGATTGTTCTCATAATAATGAAACCAAACAAATAATTTAATGGGAGGGGGGGTTGATAGAGATGATGATGATGATGATGATATGGAAGAAGTTATCAGTGATGATAAAGATGATGATGTTGATTGATTTTTTTTTTATTGTTATTTTATTTTTAAATATTAATTTTTGTAAAATATTTTGAATTATTTTGAATTTTAATCATTTTAAGTTGAAATTCATATTTTAAATTTAATTATTTTTAATTATCATATGAAATTAATATTTTTAATTATTAATTTTGAATTTTAATATTTTGTAATTGTAAACAATTAATAAATTTTATTATTAATTTTGAATATTAACTATTTATGATTTTTTTAATAAAAAATTAGTCTACGTCATGACAAGCACGACGCTAATTGAAAATAATTTTTTAAATTAGTGGCGTGAAAAACACGACACAAAACTTACTTTTGTGTTATGAATTTCACGTGGCAAACCTGCTAACATGCACAATAGAATTGTAGTAGAATTTTGTGACATAAAAATCACGTGATAAACTTTTTCGACGTGAAAATCACGAGACTAATTTGTGACGTGATTTTAACGTGACAAAATTTTTGTCATAAATGTTCCTACCTCTTGAATTATTACGATGCTAATTTAGGTTTATGACGTGATTTTTACTTTAGTAACCTAAAAATTAGGTCGCTAATGAGTATTTTTTATAGTGATAATTTCTTTTTAGTTTTAATTTTAAAACTATTTCTAGTGATTAACAAATTTGGTTACCTATATATAGAATTGTTAATATTTTTGTTACATGTTATTATTGAATACTCTAAAGGTATATTGGTCATAATATAATAAGTCAATAACTTATATATTGAAAATACAAACTACTACTTACGTGTATCTAATAAGTATGTCATTTTTTTTTAATATGAACATCCATTTTATACCTCTTTTTTATTATGATATTATATATAATTTTATTATTTTATAATATTTCTCATAAATAAATAAAAAATATATGTTGGATAATTAATATAGACAGTATATTGATCACATACATTCAATATACTAAGGAAAATTATAAAATATTTTTAAAAATAAAATTTCCATAATTATTTATAAGAAATTCATAAAAAATTAAAATACTTAACTTTTAAAAGCAATTTCTTTATGTCTAATCGTTAAAATTTCTCTATATAACACTTTTAAAGAAAAATTTATTTAAAAGTATTATTAAAAGAAAAACGTAGACAATTTTTCCTTAAAACTACAACTAAAATTGAATTTGGATACATTAATTAAGCATTGCACAAAAATGAAAGGAGTTGGCAATTTACTTTTGTCCAAAGTCATCCTAGCGTAATCATCAAAGATTCTTCAAGATTTGTACCTTTATATAACAAAAACACAACCACACAAAAATCAAATCCAAATTCCCTATCTTCCATTCATTCTTCATTCAAATTTCAAACAATTCTTCAACCTAAACCAACCATGTCTTCACAAGACCAAAACACCAAACAAGAAATTCATGTTCTATTGGTAGCATTTTCAGCCCAAGGTCACATAAACCCTTTACTTAGACTAGGAAAATCACTATTAACCAAAGGCCTTAAAGTCACCCTCGCCACCACGGAGTTAGTTTACCACCGCGTCTTCAAATCGACCACCACTCCAACCACCACCACTGTCCCGACCTCTTACACCACCAACGGAATCAACGTTATCTTTTTCTCCGACGGCTTTGATATCGCTGAAGGCCATGTATCCGTCGACGAATACATGAACCTAATAGCGAAATTCGGTCCCATTAGCCTCACAAATCTCATAAAAAACAATTTCCTCAACAATAGTTCTAAAAAACTAGCTTGCATTATTAACAACCCTTTTGTTCCTTGGGTAACAAACGTAGCTTATGAACTCAATATCCCATGTGCTTGTCTCTGGATTCAACCTTGTACTCTTTACTCCATTTACTATCGTTTCTACAATCATTTAAACCATTTTCCAACCCTCGAAAACCCTAAAACCGACGTCGAAATACCCGGTCTCCCGATATTGAAACCACAAGACCTTCCATCTTTTGTTCTTCCAACAAATGATATAAAAGCCCTATCAAATGTTTTACAAGAGATGTTCCAAAACATGAAGAAACTCAAATGGGTATTAGCAAATTCTTTCTATGAATTAGAAAAAGACGTGATTGATTCAATGGCTGAGATTTTCCCAATAACAACCGTAGGTCCATTGGTTCCTCCTTCATTATTAGGTCAAGATCGAATCGACGACGACGTCGGAATCGAAATGTGGAAGCCAAAGGATTCATGCATGGAATGGCTTAACCAAAAGCCACCATCTTCAGTTATATATATCTCCTTCGGAAGTCTCATTTTTCTCAAGGAAAAACAAATGCTGAGCATAGCTAAAGCATTGAAGAACACTAACAAGTATTTTCTCTGGGTGATGAAAGATAAAGAAGGAGACGAAGTTCGTCTTCCCGAAAAATTCGTCGAAGAAACAAAAGAGAAAGGAATGATAGTAACATGGTGTCCACAAACTAGGGTTTTGGTTCATCCTTCAATAGCATGTTTCTTAACACACTGTGGATGGAATTCAACGTTGGAAGCCATAGCTTCTGGAGTTCCTATGATTGGTTACCCACAATGGAGTGATCAACCGACGAACGCGAAACTCGTGTCGGATGTTTTTCGTACTGGGATTCGGTTGAAACCGGACAGTGATGGGTTTGTGGAGAGCGAGGAAGTTGAAAGGGCGATTGAGGAGATTGTTGGAGGAGAAAAGTTTGAGGAGGTTAAGAAAAATGTTTTGGAGATGAAAAGTGCGGCGAGGGAAGCGTTGATAGATGGTGGATCTTCTGATAGGAATATTCAATCGTTTGTTGATGAGATTCTTGTCTGTGTTGAGAACAATAATTGATTTGTTGTTGAATTTTTATATGTTTTTTGTTTGTGTCGACAACAATAATTGATTTGTTGTTGTTGAATTTTTTATATGTTTTTGTTTGTGTTGGGAAATTTATTTTGTTTTATTTGTAGTTGGATTATTTTTTTTCTTTCTTATTGATTGGTGGATTACCTTCAAGTTATGAAGTTTTTGGTTCAAATACTATGTGGTTTTGTATCAACCAACTTGTTATTTTGATATATATCTAATAATTTACATTCTCATTATGATGTTTTTGATTTATTCATTGATATATACCTTATAGTTTATTTATTATAATTTACATTTTAAACAAAATTTCTAATGAGTACTCCTAACTATTAGGAATTTCTAAATTATTTAGAAATTTTAAAAATATATGATATAAATTGATTTGCCTGCTATATGTCGCATTTGATTATGTCGAATACAACTGACTGCTACAATTTCGACTAGCTGCTTCGACTCAGTCGAATGCTAGTTCTCAATCAGAATATCGAATTACAGCTTCTAACAAATTCTCTAATTCATGTTTTCGAGACTTCTTATCTCGATACTTCTCTTCAACTCGTTGAACCTGACTTTCTTCAGAGGTTTGCTGAGTAAATCAGCTAGTTTCACTTCTGTATTGCAATACTCAAGTTCAAGATCTCTTTTGTTGACTTGGTCCCTCAGAAAATGATATATCCTCCCTATATGCTTACTTTGACCATGACACATTAGATGATTCGCCAAGTCGATAGCTGACTTATTGTCGACAAACAACTTCATTTTCCTTGATTCCATTATCTCAATCCATATACTGCTTGACTTGTTGCGTATAATGCAACCACATACTCAACCACAATGTTTTTCTTCCTTGAGCTTCATGAGATTTGGTCGCCTTCGATCATGAATATGTATCCTGCAATACTATTCTTTTCGTCTTCTCTTCGAGCATACTTCTGCATCTATGTTGGTTTTCGTTTGCCTCGACATGAGCACACCATGATCAATCTTACCCTTTATGCATCTCAACACCCTTTTGACTGCAGTAAGATGACATTATTGGAGTTTCTCGTTGAATCTACTTAACAGTCCAACACTTTGACAAATGTCTGGCCTAGTATTGCAAAGATACCTCAAGGATCCAATGATTTGTTTGTACAATGTATCACTTACAAACTCATCATTTGTCTCCTTCTTCAACTTTGCTCCAATTTTTAGTGGCGTAGTTGTTTACTAGTGTTTTTAGTTAACATCACGAGTTTGAAAGTCTGCGAGATTAACTCGAAAAATCTCCAAAGCAATTCGTGCAAATAATTTGTGTGAACACGTGTGTGTGTGCGTGTATTAAATGCAGTGTAGCAAAAAGACTTTAAGTGAAGTCAATGTGTGATAAATGATAAGTTAAAATGCACTAAATAACATTAAATAAAGTAAAATAAAAAAGTACATGTTCTGTTTAAGGAAACAAAAAGACTAAGAAAAACAAGATGGACGCAGACGCATACATGTTTCTTGCTCAATTGTTTCGCTCTTTGACTCGGGTACTCCAGTGGTATAGAGAGTATGTATGACATTTTATGACATTTGATCCCATTTATAAGTCTCCTATTTATTCTATTTACAAAGTAAATGTCGACGATGATCATGACCACTACGGGACTACTGTATTTTCTCCACATTCATCATAAAGGTCTTAAGAATGTTATCCAAAGCTACCTGTGTGAAGAATGGAAAGAGAGACACCCCAATATGGTGGATGACGTTTGTAACACCCCAAGTTTATTGGAATATTTATTTAATTTATTTAAATAGGAATATTCGTATTTTTGGTGATTTGCGGTGGTTGGTATGAAGTATTGAGAATTATGGATTTTGAGTTATTTATTTAAATAATAGTATATAATATGAATATATTGGTATTATTATTAATTTAAATAAATATAAGTGAATTAAAGGCAAAATGGACATTTGAGGAGGAGTTAGTGAGGGTGAAATTGGAAAGTCCGTTTTAAGGCTCGAAGTTAGGTTTAATAAAAAGGAATTTTGAGGGAATTAGGATTCATTCTTGTTAGACTGTGAAAAGAGAAGAAATAGAGGTCAGAGCTCTGAGGGAAGAGGATTGACGCAAAGTTTCGCAAGGTTTCCAAGAATCAAAGAAGAAAGGTTTAGAGCCAGCAAATTAAGATATGAGGAGTATTACCTTCATTGTTTTCAATATATGATTCGATAAATTTAAAGTCGGATTAAGGATTTAGTAGGTTTTTGAGTTTGAGGAAATTAGGCCTTCGTGGCCAAATCTGTTTTTGAGGTTGTTTAAGTATGGGGATATTACCTTCATTGTTTTCAATATTTGATTCAATGTATTTAAAGCCAATTTAAGGGTTTAGAGATTTTGAGTATTGAATTGTTATTGCCTTTCAGATGAGTTTAATGAGTTTGAGGGATTTGAACTGATGGTCTGATAGGTTCGAGACTGATTTGGGAGTAAGGGAAATTAGGCCTTTGTGGCCAAAATCTGTTGTTGAGCTTTTAACCGTATAAGGTAATTGATTATGAGAACTCTAATGAATGTGGAAAATTGTAAGGATTTTGTGGGAATTTGAGACGTAAATATGATACGGGATAGGCCTAATAAGTCGTAGATTTTGTGCCTTTAACGCTGTAATACCTTAGGAATGATTTAGGGGTGTTTTTGGGGCATTGGGGAAGGAAATTGTAGGGACTTTTGGGTTGGTTTTGCTACTGGTGCTTAACAGCGTTTTGCTGTAATCGCAAATTTGCACAGCGAGCAATCCTTCGCACGACGAACACTCGCCCCAGACTCGCACGGCGAACTGTCCAGCGAATGTAGTAGAGTTTCACGAATTGTGTTCTTGTGCAGTGTTGTTTTGATGCTTTGATGCTGTGATTTTTTGGATGAATTACCTTGAGTGTGACTGTGATTCATATGTGATTAATACATGATTGTATGATGATTCCTATGAGTAATGATGATGAGTTATGATGTTGATTCCATGAGTTTTTGATGATTATATGATGACATGATTATTATGATGATTTTGATGAATGATGATGCACCTAATGATTTTATTATGAGGATGATATTGACTTGTGCATCATGAATTCATATGCATTCCGGACTTCGGTCTAGTGTTTGATTCTTGTGGCTTCAGTCCCATTGTGCGGATGTAAAGTATTTTGTTGTTTATGGTTCTTGTGTAGAATCGATCCTATTGATGAGGATCTATAGAGGATTGATGGCCTAGTGTCCATCGAATTTTGATGAATTGGTACCACATGCATGAGTCTTGTTACATTTGCATTTATGTGACAATTTGGTGTAATTTATTATATTATGGCTTTTTGATGTTTCCTTGATGATTATGATGATGTTGAATATGGAAATGACACTATTTTATATATTGATTTCTATATTGATTATTATGAATGGTTTTACTCACCCTGCCTGTTTGAATGTTACCTCCACGTGGGTAACGTGCAGATGACCAGGTTTAGCCGTGGATGTCGTCGAGAACTTTTTGGAGTTTTTGACATTTTGGTTGACTTAGAGGGTCTTGCTCTGATAGTGTAACATTGGGTTGGGGTCTTTTAGTTAAGCCATGTTTTATTGATTTTTGTTATTTTGATTATGTTGCTATGCAAGGAAAACTTTGGAATTGCCTTTTTGAGTTCCGCTGCCATTTGAGCAATTTTTGAGTAATTTTGGGAAAACCCGTTATTTACGTAGCATTGACTTTGATTTGAATTATTAAGAAATGTACGCCCTTTGAGGTAATTTTTATTATGTTAAAAATATTACTCTGATAAATGTGAATGATTTTCCATTATATTTTTGGGGTAGAAAAGGGTGTTAGAATGTTTCTTCTATGTTTTTACTTCTGCGGTTCATCTCACTAGAGCTTCCTCGGCAAAGGGACTTATACTATTGCGGTTTATTTTTGCTTGACTACGTGGAATGTTTTCTGGAGGAAAATCATCGTAAAAATGGAAACAAATCATATAAAACGTGATCACAGGAAATCACTAATAAAAACAAATACATATTATTTCCAAATCAAAATCGGCAACAAATCAAGACGACAATCTAGCATTCAATTCAAAAATCAACTCATATGCCTATATAAAGAAGCAACAATCATTCACAAAAGGAAGGACATAATATGTATCATCACGGTGAAACAACAAAAGCAGAAATTCATAACACATATGATATCACAAAGTCATACAAAAGTTGCAGAACACAACAACAGCCGTCCAAGTATTCCAGAAAGATTGAGGCAAGCCATACCATACCAGAAGGGAGAAAAAACACTGAAAAACAATACAGTCCTCATACGAAAAGCCACGGAAAGACACGGTTTCACGACAGAGGCATTGGAAAGTCACACATAAAACAAAAGCATTCATCACAATAATCACAAGCATATCGAAGATTGAAAAGAACAGCAGACAGAGACTTACTTGGAAATTGTCGACGCCGAACCGTTACATCGAAACTCTTCGAAGCTACACAGCTGTCACAATCCTCATCTTTGAATTTATGGAACTCCATTAAGAAATTATGAAGTATCAATTTGTTATTTCCAATTTGAATTCGTGAGTAACCATTAGAAAAATCTCGATCGACGTCAGTTGGTGAAACTGAGGAGTAAGGAAAATGTTGGAACTGCGAGGGAAGAAGAAGAACTTCGCTCTCCATCGTCGGCCGATGGCCATGGCGCGGCGAGCCCCTTTTTCTGGTCACGAGAAGACGATCAAGAGAGAGTAGAGAGGAAAGATGACGTTAGAGAAAGAAGAAGTTTCTGCCGAGTGTGATTTTTTCCCAAGTATGCACTTAGTATTGATGGATCGGGTGAGTTCCCAGACCCGACCCAACTTTTTTTTATATACTTTTTTAGTTTTTAGTTTTTCTTCTCTTTGTGAGTTCTTTCATGGGCTTCAGATATTAGCCCATCTTTCTTTTTTTCTTAAAAAAAACATACACC